TGGGGAGACAGCACTCGGGGAGCCCCGGCTTTCCCGGCTTTGCTGGGGCCTCTTGGCAGGAGAAAGTCACCATTTCTCGTCTCCATCTCTAAGACATGGCTACCTTTCTGCCTCCAGGTATTGTCACAGAGCCAGGACCCTGTTTGTGAGCCCAGTGGCTGAGCCCAGAGGCAGGACGGGGCAAGAGACAGTCTCGCCCATCAGGCTGACCATGTGTTTCTGCTGGGATTTTAAATGCTTTCCCAATACTCTCTGGGTTTTGTTTGCTTTTTTATTCATTCTGCAGTCCAGATCCTGGGGAGAAGAGACTTTTGTTTTGAGACAGAGCCTCACTCTGTTGCCCAGGCTGGAGTGCAGGGGTGTGACCGCGGCTCACTGCAACCTCCATCTCCCGGGTTCAAGCGATTCTCCTACCTCAGCCTCCTGAGTATCTGGGATTACAGGCACCCGCCAGCACACCCAGGTAACTTCTGTATTTTTAGGAGGGACGGGGTTTCGCCATGTTGGCCAGGCGGGTTTTGAACTCCTGACCTCATGTGATCTGCCCGCCTTGGCCTCCCAAAGTGCTGAGATTACAGGCATGAGCCACCACACCCAATTGAAGAGACTGTTAAGTACCTTGCTGGCTTCAGGGGTTCCCTGGGGAGCCGTAGAAGGAGAGATTGAGGGGCCCCAAACCCCAGCACCTCAGGTCTATCCTGGGGTAACATCTTGGCAGAAAGTCGCCAGGGCCCCCTGGCTGTCAGAAAGCCATGCAGCTGGGGCTACAGTGAGGAGGGAAGCAGGGGCAGGAAGCAGAGAGCACTGCGGGCAGCAAGGCTACTCATGACAGTTGGCCGCTGGGCCCAGCACAGCTACCCAGATTTGCACACTCGGATGGACTCTAAACAACACTTTGAAACTTGCAACTATGACCCATGTAAATTCCATTTTCCATCACATCTGTAGTTACATGTGCATCCACATACACATAACTGAAGCCAGTGTCCTTCACCATGAGCCAGGCACTCCAACAGTTTCTGCTCTATTTTATTTTACAAAATTGTTGGTGGTGACTCATGAAACTGATTTCAAAATGCACATTTGAAAAGCACGGTCCTAGCTGGCACCTCCTGGTGGCAGCCTGGGCCTCGGGTGTGGGTCCAGGTGGGATCCCCCCCTACACCCAACTCTGGGTTCTGAGCTGGGATAAAGGCCTCTTGGGGGTGTTGCTGGGGGCCCCTGCCCCAGCAGTGCCCTTCCTGCTCTCCCCCACCGGCCACAGCGTGTGAGTCCTGACCACTGTGTCCGCCGGTGCCTCTCAGTGGGTCTTTGTCCCAAGAAGCTGCCAAGCCAGGTGGGAACTGCTCTCACCACCCGTGTGGCAGGCTGTCCTCTGAAGGACACAGTCCTCTTCTCTCGTGTCCCTAAGCCTAGCAGGCAATGGAAATGAACGGACAGCCTAGTTGCTGGGCACCCATCTCCCCAGGCTAGCCAGTGTGTGGAGGATTGCAGTCCTTTAGCCCAGCCTGCCCAGGCAAGCCTACCAGGATGAGCAAGAGGGCTTCTGGGGTGAGGGGAGGTGGGGGAGGGAGGCAGGCTACGGGAGGAGGCTCACCTGAACTGAATGCAGGAGAGGCAGTGCCTTTGCACCGGAAAGAGCCCATTAGTCCTCCTCCTCACCATCTCCTGTGCTCACACCCCCAGTCAGCATGCGCTGGGGGGTCCCTCAGCCAGGCCACCCCAGA